TATATAATTGATATTCTGTCAGTCTGCAGTATGTTGTTCTTGTGCATTTGATAAAGGGGCTAATAGCAATACTCTGAGAAGAAAGTTCTCAATGTCCTTCTAATATCTGGGTTTGAGGACAGGGGAAGATTGGGGTGTCTAGTTTGGATTTTTTAGGTTGTTTCCTTTTTTACATTAAACTAGTCGATCCCCAGTTGTTCCTCCTCTCCCTTGATCACTCTGGTTTATTAATATTCAAGATTTTGCTGAAAGACATACTGAGGGGAAGTTTTAAAAAAATATTAACACAATTTCCCACCCTTTCAGTGTCTGGAAGCAAAAATCCATCGGTTTCATCAGCGTATGCCTTTGATTTCTTTCCTCACTCAGTCATCTTTTATTGGGATGGAAAAAGACAGGGAAACGTGTTGCCACCTCAAAAAAAGGCAGAGTCGATGCAGGGAAGGTAAAGAGTTTTCCTACACTCTGTTACACTTACAATGGAAGTCCAATGAGGCATGAAAAGTGGCATTTTCCTCAGCTTTCATACACAGTTTTACTCTCCCTTCAACCAAACTGAAAGGTAAAAAAAATTAAGCAATCAACAAGAACCAGAAACAAAGTGTGGAAAGCCACAGGTTTGGTTCTAAATGCAAAGCAGGAAGTCCTATGTTCTAATCCATTAAAAAAAAAAACACCTCATTTTGAAGCCAAAAGAGAAGCTCTATTTCAACAAGTCTCACGAGTAACAACAAAAGAAGAACCTTGTTTTCAGTCAGAGAATTTTCAAGGGTGTTTTTTGTTTGCTCGGCTTGCAGATCACCAATCTGCTATTATAAGAGGTGAAGCAGTTGCTAAAATACCTTCAAAACGTGATGAAGTAACCATATTCAAATTACTCTTCATGCAACAGATTCATACTTCAATTATATCATCATCCCACACAACAAAAACAACTCACCGGTACAGACGGTGGCTCCCTGTCACATGCATTTTGCAGATCGAGCGGGACTACATCTCATTAGAATACTGAAGCTACTTCCACAGAGCTGGCAAAAGCCACCCTCCTCTTTTAGGCTCCAATCCAGCGACTGCTGAAGCCCGGTGGGAGCACTGCAAAGGCTCCACACTGCTATGTGGTTCCCTTGAGCAGCTGGCAGGCAAAAGTCATCTGGAAAGGCACCAGTGCTCCGCCGGTCAGGACGCTGATCCTGCCTCCACCCTCTGCTTTTTAACTTGGTTTTTTGCTCCTCAGTGTCACACAAGTAACACAGAAAGATATGAGATAGATACGATAGGAACCACACTGCTGGGTAGCAGAGAAAAGGTTAGAAAGCAAGAGAAACACTACACACTGTCAACAGTGGTCATAAGAAGCAGGACTGAGATTTTCATCCTGCGTCCTGATGTTAAAGGGCAAACATCGGATGCTTTATACATCAAGAACCACTCAGCTTACAGGCTAAATAATATAACTATGCAATTACTTAATTGTATAATCTGGAAGCAATCCTTCAAACCAGAGGCTGCGCAAAGAGCCTTACATTTTATTTTATCCTAGCTTTCAAAAAGAACCTCTTGCATGTTGTGGCGTATTATTAATGTGTAAAAGCATATACGTTCCACTTCTATTTACGTTCGGACAAAGTCAACATAATATATTTACTTAAAGTAAATATATTCAAGTAGATAGGCTAATGAACTTAGCACTATTTATTGCACAGCACATGCAATTTTCTTAGGCTGCCAAAGCTATCAAACCCCAAAGCTCCTCCAAAAGGTGGCTGGTGAGAAGAGAAGACGAGAGCATATACATTCTTTCCTGTTAGCCTGCAGGAAACCCAAATGGGAGGCAGAAATTTGAAGCCCAACTTCAAGTCTTCTGTTGCACACAGAAGTTCACACTGAGCACAATCAAACCTCGATATATTAACAGGACGACCACAGTACACAAGTGAAAACGTGTACTTTTCAAAACATGAACTAAAAGCGCCCACAGAAATATCGACTACCAACAACCGGCAGAGGACTCTTATCTACTCGTTTTGCTTTTTAAAGTTCCTACTATAGCCTCGTACAGTTTTAAATGTACAAACAGAAAAAAAAAAACCAATGAAAAAACCAACCCAAAAAAAGTCCCCTCAAAAAGTCCCCACCCTACTAAAACATTTCTGGCCCTCGCCACAAAGGTTATCTAAGGGAAGTTTTCAGGATTCATAGTTTTGGCACTATCCAAACCTGAACTTAGAACAATGAAGACACATTACAAACAATAAAAAGTGCTTACCCAGAGCCCTGTGAAGCAACTTGTTTAAACTTAAAATACCTTCTAAATATTTGAGAACAAATTAGGGGGTAAAAAAAAAAAAAGGAAATCATTGATATTTAATATTTTTAATAAAGTGAAATCTAAGACAAACACAGAAGCAATATTACTGCATTGAAGTATTATCTGCAACAGTGCACTAACAAATGCCAATAAAACCTTTGTCTATAAAGAGATTTTACAGTACATACTAGAGTATACCTCAGAGCCCTTAACTAGTTTTTTTTTTTATTTTCTTCTTTAACTTTGGTTAAAGATTCCTCAATAAAGTGCTCTATTACTAAAAACACACTTTCAGTAGACCTATAACACTTTCTGTTAACTATTCTTTCAAATAAGAAGCAAAGGCAGCCCACTGCAAAGAACAGCACCAAAATAACTGCATTTAGCAATGAAATAATACCAGCCTTGCCCTTCAGAAGAAAGCTGCAGTGTAGGAAAAGTAAACAGCTCTTGGAAGCCACTGCTAGAAACATATTAAGATATAACTACCTCTATATGCGGTGTTTATTGGCTTATAAGAAGTAACACCCGTGGCTGAAAGCTTGTAGGGCTGTTGCAGTCCTCACGGATGTTATTTTTCCTCTGTGTGTGGTTTGCTTTGTCCTGTTCTTTTAAACCATGGGAAAAGGAGCTTCGTGCCTACACGGGTGTTTTTATGGATGCATGGTTAATAAATGTTCCTGAAAACCTGACTGTAATAAGCACGCAGTCAGCATTCCAGGGGAGGAGAAAACTGCTCAGTGTAAGATGCGGCAAGCCAAATGCGAACCTACGATGATCTTCATAGTAGACTGTATCATACAAGCGTTACAGTAATTGGAAATTACAAATATAGTCCTTACCCACAGTGGTTTATTTTGCTGTCCTTTAGTCTATAAAAAGGACTAATTCATTTTAGAAGTAAAAAAGGAACTGATGTTGATGTAGTAATTGCTGAGTGTGTAGAAGAAGTGTGATTTACATAGTTAGAAGGTGAAAACAGATGGAGGAAGCATGGCACATGAAGGTCTGCTCTTCTGTTTTTCCTCTTTCAATTCCTAGTTCCTTGTACCAGGCCTGCTCTCTCTTCTCGTGTGCAGGATACATGCCTCTTCCCTTCCATGCCTTCTGAGTAAGCAGGCTGGCCTCTTAATTTATGACAGACTTGCAGTTGCTTTTTAATACCGAATTCTCTTGGACAAGATCTAATTAGTATCTCTAGAAATTGTAGTGATGTCAAACAAACCTTTTTTTTCCCTCATACACAGTCATCTACTACAGCAGTCCTCATCACCTCGTCTCAACTCCAATAGCTCTCTCCTTTGAGCCTTTCCTGATCAGTGAAAGGGTTGTGGCAGTTGTCATAATTTCATGCACAGTCCCCAAGGTCAGACTGCTGGTGGCATTCAGGTACCTACTTTGATTTGCAAAAGCACTGCCATGAGTTAGGAAACTTTGAAAACTAGCCCCATAGTAACCCTGGTCTCCAATTCATCCCTTGTGAAGAGCTTATCAGAGAGAAAGGACTGTAAAATGTCTTGTTTTTCTTGTCAGGCCTTGACTGAAAATGGACTAGGGCACATTCACCCTGGAATGTAGAGCTAATTATTGATGTCCAGAAATGCGTGAGAACCTGACTAAAAGGAAGAACAGTTTAGAGTCACTCCCAGTACCAGTCTCAGGCAAATGAAAGCACTTACAGCAGGAAATGTAGGTAAGGTGACATCAGACATAGACTGCCAATCTTCCCCTTTCCGCCAAGAAGCAGAGACACCTACAAACCCTTGTGATCTACCTTTGAAAAGAACGACCTGTGAGGTTAGAGACCCTATTGATATCGTCTGGTACAAACATCAGAGCTTTTCCACAAATACACTGACTAGCATCACCTACCAGGAAAAATACCGGTCACAGGGGGGCAGCTGTACCCTTGCCTGGGCGCAGAGAAAAATGACACGGTTGAAGACTGGTAAAACTTTTCTGTTTTATTAAAAATTGGCAGTTGCATCCCTCCTTGCTAAGCTTGGCAAATTTCTGTTGTTTGGTTGTGTGGGTTTTTGGGTTGGGTTTTTTTTTTTTCTATTTTCCTGTGCAATAGGATATTTTTGGGTTAGTGAGCTCTGACAGCAAAAACAAGCAGCAACCACAAAGCCATTATCAAGAAAGCAGGCTGAGCAAACAGGGTATCTTTTTGCCATAAATCTTCCTTCCTCAGAATGACAGACCAGGCTTCGGCAATCCTGTCAGCATGCGTGAGGTACAGGAAACGCCTGCCAGAAGCTGATTTTCTCTGGATGTCTGAAACAGACGTGACGATGCAGTGTTTACCAGCCTGCTGCCCCTGCAAGGCTGGATAAGCAATACTAAGGCAAAAGACCTTCAGGCTCATTAGCTCTGCTTAAGCAGAATTGAAGAGAAGCTGTAGTTCCAGATTTCTTCTTAGACTGAAAAGATCCGAATAAGAATTCTTAAGGATAAGGTACCTTATTAGATCTACGAATAGAATTTTAAATGTTTTGAAGTTTACTTGGACTCAGCAACATCCTTGGGAAGGTACCACCTTCCCAAGGTAGACTGATTATTTTAAGCAGCACACACTAATATGGCATGTTCTATTCTATAATTTAGTAAAATATTACTGTAACACAAGTGGAAAAATGTTAGTTTGTTAGTGCCCACTACAGAACTGAAACTTACTACCCACCCTCACCCCCAAGCCTTAGGATGCCTTTCTGGATGATACTGCTTTCTCTCAGTGAAATGCTACAATTCCTGTTTTGTTTTGAGTAACTAATTTCAGCTGGCTGTCTTCTGCCTGGCAGATCATCTTCATTTTCCAGTCCTAGCAACTGCTTGAATGGCTTTGATCCACTCGGTACGCTCTGCGGATGAGGCTGCTTGCAAGTAATAGTGGATTTCATCTGCTGTGATGATTTCAAAGAGGATGTTGTCAACATCATACTTCTTGGCTACAGAGAAGAAATAAGGAAGTTAGCTATGAGAAAATAAAGTCTTGTATTTACAATGTTTCTTTCTTTACACACTGTAAGGGGATGTCCTTCCTTTCTACAGCTGTGCTTGATCAGGCCTTCACAAATAGACTGCAAGACGGGGTCCATGAGATAGGTCTCTCTCTTGGAGAAACAATCCATGAATTGTGCACCTTTCACCTTCAAGAGTCTCTGGTTAATTGATCTCCAATCATGGAAGGATCTGCAATCCTGCAGACAGGTCAAATTCCCCAAACCCTCCTGTGCATTGCCAGCTACAAAACCAAGACGTTTACATTCATGTCACATCCGGAATCTCCGGTTCTTTTCGTATCTGCCAGCATAGCCTACACAGGTGCTGAGATGCCAACAGACTTCCTCAGTGGGTATGATACTCTGCCTCTCCCGTGGAGAGGAGAATGCACGGAGTAAGTGTTTCTTGTTCCTTGCAGCAACGCTTAACCATTGCTGTTCCCACAAGTTCTAGTTTTGTTTGGGGGAGGGAACAGAATGTGAACAGTAATAATCTGTTGGCATAACCATTTCTAATGTAAAGCTTCCATCCCAAATTCATCAACTAAAAAGAGCAAACTCAGCTTACTTCGTCAAAGGCTGCTTATCCTAACACAGGAGTGGTGTCATCCTTTTGACAAGTCTTCTCTAAACAACTGACAAAACATGAGATTCCCTGTTGCTACCTTTACCACAGTATCCTTCTCCAGTAATTAAGACAGCAATAGAGAGACCAGTTACTAGAACAATTACTGAATCATTGCACATAGATTGCTTTTCAGTAAAAAAACACAGGTGATTTCAGACAGATTGAAAGACTGTACCAAAAACTTATCACACAGTTCATTCAATATGGTTCCTTACAGTCTGGCATATCTTCCACCGCTGTCACCACGGAGCCTCTCAAGTGAATTGCTCCTAGCGGTTCTTCCCCCTGGTGAGTACATGAAACCAAAATGAAACGTGACGCTTCTGAAACTGTTTACATGTTAATATCTGGCTAAAACTCCAGAATGGAACCAAAAACATTTGCTGACTTAGTATGTCTCCTGGAAAACCAGGGGATCCTCAGTCTGTGGGTGACATGGAGGGTCGAGGTGTGTGGTAGGGGGAAGAGCTGCAAATAAATAGGAAATTTCTTTTGGGATTGGGAATTCAGGATCTGCAGAGTATTTAGCATGTCCTGAACAAAGGTAGAAGAAGAATATAAGACTTGTGCCAACTGTAACTTTTCTTTTGATGTCACAGTGAATAAAGATTAGTTAGAAAAAGAGTAGATCTTGGAAGTATTCTTACCAAGCAGCAAGAGCAGCTATACCCTTATTTACAACTTGCCCTCTTGTGCACTTTGGGACTGTGACAGTCAAAGAATGGGTGAAGATGCGTATTTGTTGGCGTAAGTTTCAAAGAAGCTGACACACCTCAGCCCTTTGGGAGGGGATGCCAGGAGAGGGAAAGGCAAGCTGGGAATAGAGAGGTCAGAAACCCCTCAGTGTTGATTCTCCAGTGTGTTTAGGCTGCCTCTGCCGAGGGGGCAGGCATGGCATAAAGCCCCTGTAACCCCCAACAGCACCGCTCCTGCAGCAACACAGGATGAAATAAATTCTGTGGGGTGAATCTACCTGAATGCCAGCTTTTGGGGAAAGGTTTTTGCCCATGGTAATGCTCCTTCTTTTCTTAAGGCAGGGTTTGGCCCATTAGAATTACACAAGGAATGGAACGCCATGGCTCAGCCTGACACAGAAAATACCTCAGTTATAAACTGCAAAATGACTGCATTGTGCTCATTTGCACTTACGACCTAGTTCATTTTAATCAAGTGAGAGCACACATTAATTCTAGTTAATCACAGATAAAGAGGTGAGAGCAGCCCAGTTCAGTGTTACCTGTTCCCAGGTAACTTGCCACCCTGAGCTGGCAGCCCCAGAAACCATCCTTCACTCTGTTTTTCCAGAGGATGGCTAGGCCGTGTGAGCACAAACAGCCCCACTGTCCTGCTTGGTCTTCCCTGTCACACATTCCTATGCAAATACTCCATTCAGATATTTCTACAAGGCGTTGGTTTTAAAACAAACAGGGAAATAAACTGAATGTCTCTTACTCCAGCAGGATCATAGTAGTGAAGATATGCAGGGTCGTCTCTCAAAACAAACTTTCTCACTTTCCAGTTCTTCCTCCGATGTCCCTAGGAAAATTCAAAACCAGGAGTGTCGTGAACTGCTTTGCCTGCAAGTGCTTACAGTCAGCTTACCCACACATGAGAGAACAGGCAAATAAAAAAGGGGAAAAGCTGAATATTTTGGACAGGAAATATTTACTGCAGTAGGACTTGAACCTGGCCTTTCTGCATCTCACTGTTTTGCACAACAGCCGGGCTACCACACTGGTTTCTCTTTCTCTTTTTTGTACAATGCAGAACAGCTTCAACATGGGACATTCCCCTAAACACATCTCATAGACTGGTAGCTATGACATTCACGTGAGGTCTGCGAGAACTGGGCTTAAATGCTTGCCAGAAAACATGGCTGCGGAATGTCTTGCAGGAGGGACCTTGAACTATTGGCAACAATGAGCCAAAGGTTCTTCTCTCCCTGCAAAGACAACAACAATGGCTTATCTGGCTCAAACACCCTGGAGAGGGTTCATGACTGAGAAGATCAAGCAGAAATAACACCACCTTCCGATATGGATGTAGATGCCTCATTGCCTGTTTTCAAGACTGAAATGATGGGTGGGGAAAATCTAGGTCTGCTGAAAGTATTCTCAGCAGAAGCAGTGACACTTCCAAACGATGATCCACAACTCACTGAGGGTGACCCAATCCAGACTAACACTGCTGGAAGACTGTCATGAATCACTTCCTCTCTGCATTTCAAAATATTAGTTTCTCAATTAGCTACACTGTTTGTAAGGAAGCTCTTACTAACTAGGAAGATATGAACGTGACAGTGTAAAAGCAAAGACGCGTATCTAATTTCTTCCATTGGTTTTGAGTAATCTGACTAAGCAAGAGAAATACAGGTGAGTACCACCAAAAAGTTCTTAGGCTCCCAAGGAATATTTTAACAATGGAGGTTCAGACTTGATATTAAGAAACATTTCTTTACAGAGTGGGTGGTCAAACACCAGAACAGGCTTCCTAGAGAGGTGATCAATGGAAAGTAAGGATCTTAGCATGACGTTCACCATATTGCTTAAAGTTTTGCTGGAAAGGAAGGTATACAGTTATCTGTCATCTTACAGATGGGACAGGATCAAACGTTAATGACTGAAAAGACTCCTTTGCTCAGGTATGCCAAAAGAGCCTGTGAAAACTGGGAACTGAATCCAGTTGTGTCCAGAGGGACACTGGATTGGCAGCCTTTCTATCTGAGTTCAGTTCTGCATTGTACCAGTGACTTGTCACACTCCTGCTTTAGCACTCTTTAAAAATTAAACCTCTAAACTGTCTTATTTCATAGTAAGAGCAATAAACCTTGCAACGTTGGGCAAAAGCCCTGCTGCCATGCTACAGCAAGCTTTCTTTGTGCAAAGACAAGAGGGACAGAGATGAAACCTGTCAGGTGTGGAGATGGCATAGGCTAGTTTCTCTCTTCTCTAAAGCTTCTAGGTGTAAAAGAGTAATCTTGGATGCATGCAACATCATCTCAGTGACAGGATGGAACACGTGCAATACTGACCTGTTTCAGCAAACATCCTTGTTTGACTACTATGCCTCTGAATTCTTCTTTCAGGACCACATCATCATCACTAGAATTTCCCTCGCAGAAAAACCCACTGTCTGGCTGCATGACCACAAGAGAAAATTCAGAAGTTACACAGCTGCTGCATGTTTATGTACACATACAAATCTGGCTTCTCTTTGGCTTCCCCTCCACCCTGATTTTGCCACCCCAAAAAAAAAAAATCAACCCTTTTACTGGAAAAATCTCCCAGTGAAGTTAAGGAGCTCTCCAAGTCCCCATGGAAGCATTTCAGAGGGAGGTAGGACAACACCAATGGGTCCCAGGGCATCCGAAGAGAGCTGGAGCATCTGCGTATACGTCAGTGCCTCCACTCTCCGTGACTCTTGGTGTCACATTTCCTCCATGATGGACAGGCTGCCTCAATCCCGTGATGTCACACGTTTTTAAATGCACAGACAGCAGTTCATATGAAGCAATGCCAGCACAGCCAGTACACTCCAGGCTGGCCATCCCTGCACCCAACACACCCTTCCTCTTCCTCCATCCGTTACAACCATCTTCTCCAACAACAAAAAGCGCCCCTAGTTTCTGAAATTTGCAAATTTCTACAGCTGTGACGTTGTGATGTGTGCGCTGAGCACAGGCTGTCTCAGGATCCATGCATCACATCCGTTCCACACCAGATACATTGCGATGCCGCTTACTGAAACCTTATACTGTTCAAATGACGTAAATGTAGGTAAGCATTCGTACGGCTTAGAGTAAACTTCTGTGCTGCCTACTTGTATGATAGCAAGTCAGACATTGACCTGCTGTGACCTCCTCACACCACTTTGGTATTGAATCAAACTAGAAACAAGCTGAAAGCAAGCAGAGCAAGGAGAAGCGTCCCAGGTAGCCAGGAACTGTGATGGCCACAAGGCTGTCTTCACCAGCAGCGTCTCTGCTTCCATTGCTGCACAGATAAAGTCTCCCTACCAGAGACACATTCTAGGAAAACAAATGAAGTAATGAAAGATTCATTTTGCTGAAGTCAAGGGATTCTGTGTGGTAAATATAAACGGAATTATAATATTTAAGCATTTTACTTGACAGAAGGCATACTTTTTTGTTAGCACAAGATCCTAAGCCAAACAACTTTAAAACAGCAATTGACTGTGATTGTGATATCGCAAGTTCTTCAAATCAATCTAAAGGATATGAAGCAATAAACTGAAAAGGTTGGGTAAACTACCCAGGACAGGTGTTTTGGGGGATACTAAAAACTTTTGCTTCTCCACTCACAGGCAAGTTGCATGTGTGTGTCAAATTTGATGGCTCCGCACAAAAATGGGTTTGTAGCTTGTGCCACTCTGAGAAGCCCCATGATAATGAATTACTCTCTTCCCTTCCACTGAATCATCAGGGGAACTGATGGCTGAATTCTGGTCACTGATGAAATTACCAGGAACAAAGTCTAAGTTAAAAAGAACCCAGCTTGATCTCAGCACTCACTTAACACTTAGAAGGGTGCCAGAAAAAAAAAAAGTCCTGCTTACAAATATTAAAGTGAGACAGTTCATTCTGAGTATCACATAGAGAAAGACGATTAACATGGATCTCTCCGTTTCTGTACAATCTTTCCTCCAGGACTTAAGAAACCCAACAAGAAGGCTGAGAAAAGCAGAGCATCAGTAAGTTTGAGACAGAAAAAAAAAAACAGAATACAAGGCTTACGAAGTAATAGAAGGCATCACTGAGATCTAAGAAGGGGGTGTCCGACAGTCCCTCGGCAGCAGCCTTGGATGTATCCCCTGCGGGCTGTAGGTAGCCTTCACTCAAGAGGGAAGAGGCAAGCATGAGACCTTCTTTGCGATTTCGGATGGAGTTGCTAGACACCAGCCAGTCAATCACACAGGAGCCTGGTTACAAAGGAACAAATAATATCAGCCACAACCCAAGACAAAAACAAAGAAACCTAAAAATACACAGGTGACAAGCCTACTCCCTCTATGCAGCAATATCCTGAAAGATGTTCTTAGTGACAACGCTGAGAGCTAATGTGGAAAGGTGCCAAGGTCATCCAGTGAGGTACAGCAGATCTGACCGATGGCAGGGGCCAGTACAACTCTTCAATGCTGTACTGAGGGAGAAGAGAGCTTGGAGGGGATGCAGGGCTGAGCTGGGAAGCCTCAGGGACAGGGACTAGGGAAGTACGAAGGACAGCCAAGCCTGAGAAAGCAGTCTTCCAGGCTGCTACGTTACATACACAGTGCTGTCAAAAGAGGGTGACTTTCGACTCTAGCACCCACAGATTTGACTTGCAGCAGGACAGGAATGACAATGTGTGACAGTTTGTTGATGAAAAATTCAGAAAGGAATAATTCTTCTGGAGTTAAGTGTTTCAGCAACTTCCTACAAAAATCTACTTCAATCTTTCTGGCACTGGTTAAATTTCTTCCTCCTCTCTTGCTTACCATGGCCATAAACGAACACTTTTTCAAGCTTCATCCTTTGAGCACCTCCTGTGTTGGTCAAGAAGATATATGCCAGGTTTTCTTTTCAAACTTCTCTGCGCTCTACAGAGCTTAGAGCTGTTTTATCCATCTTTAGCCTCTCAGCCCTGTGCTCCCTTTATTGTATGGAAAAGAGGAACAAGAGCTCCATACCTGTAAAGCAGTGATTGAACACTTTCTTATCTTTTTCCAGCTTCAACTCCTTTATTCCCTTTTCAGGATCTTTCATTGAGAGATACAAAGCACTGTGAATACAAAGAACCACAGAAACTGTTAGCAAATAACAAGCTTTAGCCAGTTCGTACAATAATATCATATATTCACAGAATGGTTAGAGTTGGAAGGGACCTTGAAGATCATCTAGTTCCAACCCTCCTGCCATGGGCAGGGACACCTTCCACTAGACCAGGTTGCCCAAGGCCACGTCCAGCCTGGCCTTGAACACCTCCAGGGATGGAGCAGACAACTTCTCCAGGCAACCTGAGCCAGTGTCTCACCACTGAAAGAATGTCTTCCTAATATCTAATCTAAACCTCCCCGCTTTCAGTTTAAAGCTGTTACCCCTCGCCCTATTGCTACACTCCCTCCCCATCTCTCCTGTAGGCCCCCTTTAGGTACTGGAAGGGGCTATAAGGTCTCCTTGGAGCCGTCTCTTCTCCAGGCTGAACAACCCCAACTCTCTCAGCCTTGTCTTCACAGGAGAGGTGCTCCAGCCCTCTGATCACCCTTCATGGCCTCCTCTGGACTCGCTCCAATAGCTCCATGTACTTCTTATATTGGGGGCCCCAGATCTAAACGCAGTACTCCAGGTGGCTTCTCATTGTCATTCACATGTTTCTTCATGTTTGCTGGCATATTGATCTCCGCAGAGCTATAGCAAGGTTTAGTTTAATCTCCTGAAAAATTTACGTTACAAAGCCTGGAGGCCTCACTACATCACTGTCACAGCTGTGGGAGCAGAGAGGGGAGTGCACTGATGACTCACCACACCCCCATATTTTGAGAATGGAAAAACTTGTGGTGACTGTAGTGTGAAGAGAGGAACACCCACTGCTGAGGCACCTTCCCAGGGCCCCACAGCCTTGGTGCCGATAGGGGAGCTCGCTGCTTTGCTATGTTCCTCCAAAGGTCCTTGGCTGAGCAGAAAACCTGTCGCTGCAACATCTCCAAAGCCTGCACGCTCTCAGAGGCCCTGAGTAACCTCAGTGACCCTGGTGTGACTTCCTTCCTCCCACCCCCACTTTCACTTGCTCAGAACTCTAATTCCTTGGAGCTCTGGAACGACAAGAAGGACAAATATTAAATGTCACAGGCTAAGATCTTTGGCCTTTTAGTCAGGGTGATCCTCTGCTGAAGCCTGTGAAGTCAGATTTAGTTGGATCTTGGCCCTGTGCAGTTTTACTGTCCTCTAAGGAGCACTGCAGGCTCATTTGTATCTTGGTATTTACTGCTCAGAGGCAAAAAATAAGTTGTCCTCAATTTTTTAAAGTACTGACAAACAGATGGCTGCCTGTGTGTGCCCTCTTCTTCTCCCTTTGCCAGTTCCAAGTTCTCCTGCAGGCACCACTCTCCCCTCAATATCCAAAACTAGGCTAACATCAGCATTTCTCTGGAGAGCAAACAAAAGGTTTAAAATATTTTTGCAATAAGTTATATATTGTATAAAAATGCCTCTTCTGAAAGAATCCCACTTTGGTCGGGGTCTTCTTTTGCACCGCAGTGTGCTCAGAAATCCCCTTATCAGCAAAATCCTTGGATAAATAAGCATGTTTTGGTAAAAGACGATGTATTAAAAATGATCATCTCAGTTCCAGTTGTTAGCTTATTTCTGCCACATTGTGCGCTCTGAAACTGTTAGTCATGCAGAAAGGACTCTGAGGAAAACCACAGAGGTGGCACAGACAGACGTACTCATAGTTCTTCCAGACTGAGGTTACATATCTGGCTCACTGCCTGCGAATGGAAGTAAACGGGGGAGCAGAACTATGAGAACAAACCTCAGGTTGATTGTTTCAGGCAGTCTGATAGACTTTCTTGTGGATTTTCTGGCAAACCTTTGTCCTCCATCTATGCAATGAATTGCTTTCTTTATATCCCGGACCCAAGCATCTCTCTCCTCCAGGTAGGCAGCTTGAAAAAAGTGGTCCTGCTGCTTGGCTGCAGTGAGCTTGAAGACGAACTGGAATGATAAATGAGTTTTTTTCAGAAGTTACTTTGGTGTAGCCAGTTGGGCACAATTAACCTAAAACCACCACGACAGCCTACCTGTGCCTAACAGACTATGGGAAGTGCCTTAGAGCCACAGTTGAACTAAAAGAACTCTGAAGAAAAACATGAACAGGCAGTGCAGGTAACTGACTCCTTTTGTTATTCCCCTGTGAGCGATCCTGATGCTGTCAGTAGAGCTAAAGTGAGCAGCACTGATATAGCTGCTGATTTTAACTTTTGCTGGGAAGTTCAACACAGCTGAAAGGCCCTGTGAGCTTACAGTGGGTGTAAATTTGTCTTAATGTTTGGAGATGTGGCCAGTCTGAAGGAGGTTAAAAAAAAACAAACCAAAACCCACATCATGTTGCTCAGCTACTGATTCACAAGGGGAGAAAAGGTCACAGTCACACTGGAGAGTAGCTGAACACATTTGCAGCCAAGCCAGCCTCTAAGGGCTTGGTAGGGAGATGATACATCCAACCCTTGGCTACACCTTATGAGCACTACCTATCTAAACATACTATCAACAATGGAAAGACTGTATTTCCCAAAAATTAGAAAAGCTCTTTTAAAGGTAGTTCTAAGCAGAAAAAAAATAGCACCAACCTGAAAAAAACAAACAAACAAACAAACAACTCACAAAGTTCAAACTGTTTGATTTCGGTTTTATCCAGTGATCTTTTGGATGGAAAATCTGGATCTAATTACTCAGGCAAGAGGGTTTCTACTTCCTCTAAAATAGAGTTCCCCATAAGTGGAACTGTAATTTGTTCCATAGTTGTATTAGAAGAAATACAACAGGTTCTGACTCAGCAGGCATCTAAAAATGACAGGCTAACCAGCAAGCAGACAGCATGGCTTTATGAGGGCAAGTAAAGCAGAGACCATCATCAAAGAGCAGAGTGATGAATCTATAGCAACAAAATCAAAACGCTGAATGAGTCTGCTGAAGCCCACATTTGTAAACGGCACATTTCTGAACATCCCTAATATGCATCTTTCAGATTGCTGCCAATGGGAAAAATTCTGACACCCTGCAATTGTGCGGAAGTCCCACTGACTTTCATGGAAGACAGATTTCAAACTCGCAAAGCAGTGGGTCCTCAAAAATCCGTTTCAGACAGAAAAATAACTATTTCTTATCTGATACTGTTCATATTTCCCGCAACACCCACCCTTCCGATTATGCAGTAAAAAGCTACGTCCTGAAAATCAATGTACGGTGCCTGTGAAAAGCAGACAGTTCTCTCCAAGTTCCAATATCTGTGAGTCATGCTAACACACCAGACTAACAGAACGAAACAGCAAAGCATTAAAGCAACCTTTTACCAAAGGAAAAAAATCAGCTTTCTCAAAGTCAAAGAGCTGAAAAGCAACATACAGTGAAATGCTAAGGAGCAGATTTCATTTCCAGTACACAGAGCAGACTGGCAAAGGTCTTTCTCTTAACTTTAGCTTTTAGAAAGCTAGGCCACTAAACTGGACATTCAAACCTCCTCTGAAATTGGTGAAGACATTGAGTCTCCAATCCTAGAATTGACCAAGTCTCCCTCAGATGATGTGTGTCTGTGCTTTTGAGAAAATTAGACCATTAGACTGAACTAAACACCAACATTTTAGATACTTTAAGTTAGGACAAATTAATCTGACCATGAGCAAACATACATGAGACCATTATCGACAGAAAAGCCATGGGGAAAACAGAGAAAGCACAAGTATAGCAGAATTAACATCACATTAAACAATGATCAAACTTCAGATGAAGAACAGTGAATAGCGGTGAATGCATTTTGAAATAAAATCTTGAAATATACAGTTGCAGCCTCTTCTGAACAAGCAATATCTCTGTTTAGCAAAATCAGGATTGTTTTCTTTCCCCTCAGCACCTGCTTTTTGCAACTGCCTTAGTAAACAAAAAAGTTGGTGATGTGCCTGAGGTTTCAAGCTAGGCCCTGATGCAGATACACAGCTGATTCAAAAAGCTGAAATCTAACCCAGATGAATATACAAGTCTGCTCATGGCTCAATAGTCCAGGCTCCAAACTGGGCGCAAGTGAGTGAGAACGGACTTAAAACTGGCCTAATGAGAATTATCCCACTTTTCACCCTACAGAACTCCTGTCCTAAAAATACTCTTTCATTTCTACCCATATGAAGTAAACGTATGCGAACCACTAAGAACCAGAGTAATTCCCATAAGAGGAAGAACTGTATGTTTTGGCACAATGAGAAGGCAGGATGGAATGCAGAGGCTTTGGATTGAGCAGTATAGTAAAGCAGTAAAATGTAAGACACAAAAATCAAGATACTACATTTTCAACAAATACATGTAGAAATTTAGGTTTAATCATACTGGGCAGTAACTACTTGTAAGAAAAATCCCAGTGATGGTGTTGCTTATATAGATGAGCATGTTGTAGTTTTGACTATTTGAACAGTGCAAATTTTAAGAGAAAAATACTCCGAGCTGTTGGGCTATGGACTTGCAGAACGATCTCACCAACTCAACACGGAGGATCTGCTCCAACACCTGCTAAAGTCATTTGGCTCACTTCCACTGACTTCAGCAAACTCTGCATCAGATCTCACTTATGAAAAGGTGTTTTGGGTGCCTCAACTCCAGAGCTGAGATCCTTCCTTTTTCCTCTGTTCTACCTCAGAAAAGGCCCCAGCAACTAAAATGAAATATAATGTAAAAATCATTATGTAAACTCATAATGTAAAATGAAGCATAATGTAAAATTTGACCCTCAAAGACTTCATCACCCTTTGACACAGATGCAGTGCATCTTCTACAAACTAGTCCACCCTCAAGCAACCCTTTGGGCAGGTGAGGATGTGTCTCACTCTGCCTTCAGCAGACATCAGATACTTAAGACCTCTCTGCCTATTTTGTAGAATGCACATACACTACTAAACTATCTTTTCATTATTGTTGAATGTGTTACTGTTATTGACATTTCCAAGCAACTACTATAGACTAATACTGATGTCAGTGCCTCTGTGGGAGTTAAAAAACCAAAACACAGAAAAACAAACAAACAAAAAACCCCACAAAACTGTTTGGAAATGAATGCTTTGTGAGAAAATCTTTATTTCTACTATTATAACGTAGGATCTGTGATACTCTTGAACATAGTATCCTTCTCCCCATGCATTATACCCCATGTATGGAGTAAGAAGTGCTGTGCTGAGGCTTGTTAATTAGATAATGTAGAAACATGGCTTCAAATCAGCAGAATTAGAATCACAGAATGGTTAGAGTTGGAAGGGACCTTAAAGACCACCTAGTTCCAACCCCCCTGCCACGGGCGAGGACACCTCCCACCAGCCCAGGTTGCTCAAAGCCCCATCCAACCTGGCCTTGAACACCTCCAGGGATGAGGCAACCACTTCTCTGGGCAACCTGCGCCAGGGTCTCACCACCCTCATTGTGAAAAATTTCTTCCTAATATCTATTCTAAACCTACCCTCTTCCAGTTTGAAACCATTAGCCCTCATCCTATGACTACACGCCCTTGTAAAAAGTCCCTCTCCAGCTTTCTTGCAGGCACCCTTGTGTGCAGATATACGTACTTTCTGTTCCTTTATTTGGTTATTTGATGTTCCTGCTCTGTGCTCTAGTCCCTAGACATAATTATGCTTCACTTACTATTCATGGTTTGCAAAAGATGTAAAGTCGAGTTCTGTAACAAAGAGCTCCCAGCCAGCGCCCAGGCAATGCACCGACACACAGCCACGCTGGCTGAAGCAGAAGGTCAGCTCCAGAGCTGCAGGGGTTAAGCAGTAAGGTTTGCCCAGCCATGCCCGAGGGTGGCTCCGGCAGGAGCTGTTGGCAATAAGGAAGAGTAAATGGGTTTGACCAGCACTCAGTGTCACACCCTTCTGAATCAGTTGGACAATTGCCCTTGCCAGCTCAGGGATCAAAAAACCTACGGTGGGCTGGGGTGGGAGTGCATGACCATGCAATTCTCCTTCCAGGCATGATAATACGGTCTCCTTCTGCGGTCAACTCCCAGTAACTAGAAAGAGCTAGGAAGCCCAGGGAGCTCTTGATGATCCCGCTCTGCGAGGGATTTCCAAGGTAAAGGCCTTGTTAAACTTGCTGTTCGCAGGAGGAGCAGCCATCTACAACTTCTTTGACTCAGCACAGGATTAACAGCAATCTTTATTCTCTGCCCCATCCTTTTATTGTTCTGCCTCAAAGACAGCTTTTAAGTTAAGAGCCCCTTTTTGTTAACAGACATAAGTTTAACAAGACTCCATAAGAATCAACTTTTTTTTTTCCCATATGAATATGGTGTCTGCACAAAGAAGAAAAAAATAAAATTAAAAGAAAGAAGTAGAAGAAAGAACAGAAAAATGGAAGGAAAAAGGAAAGCCAGCAGATCCAAACCTGACACCGGGGACCCTGACTCCACTTGCCACAAAACCTAAGGGCAGGTATAATTCTCCTCACTTTACTCCCATGAGAAAGTGAAGCTTGCTGTCTCATGCATTTTCTCACACTTTCTTTCTATTTTCTAATGCTCTCAGAGACTTCTATATTTAGTCAGGCACCCTTGCAGTAAATTTCTTTAAACCGTAATTGGATAATCTTCCATATTCCTCGAGTATAATGCCTATTTGATGAAACTGAGTTGCTGAAATAACAAATGACTGCCTAAAGGTATGATTCTTTGCTCGTACTAGAAATCCTCTTACCAACAACTATTTTTCAGGAACCCTATAACAAGATATGTATGCTTGAACATATGTATCTTCCTGTATCTTACTTTCTGTCAAATGAGACTCTGAATTTGTGAACATAGCGATCTGTGTGTTTCACTGGGAATTGGGACCTCAGTCTGTGCGCTTGCTACCCTCAACCTTAGAGATGCCAAATGCGTAGGCAACACTTGAACTACTTTCTCTCACTCAGTTTTGGCTTTTGCTCTCTGAGTGTAGACGTGACTCTTAGTCACTTGCAAAAGCCCTACGTGTAACAATGCAGGGTGTGATTAACACAGATTGCATGAATGTGCAGTGTGTGGGGTCGGGTAGTTACCAAATAGTAGTAAGAAGTTTGGAATGACAGCATTACTTGGGCATTTGTGTCACAGCCTTTATCTCCTTCCTGTCTCAGCAAGCCAGTTATTGCTCTTTGACAATGAACTGATGCTTCCACTGTTCATGAAATAGTTTCCCACATCTTTATTCTAGATTTATATTTACTACAGGAGTTGCGCCATTCAGCTGCTACGCCTCTTCACAACAATGTAATTTGGCTCTGCTCTCTGACAGATTCAGAGATTTTTTTTTAAAAAAAAAAAAAAAAAGAACTTTCTGAATTGCTTCTCTTGAAGGATCCTGAATTTTTCCTGAGCAGTCACACCTTTCAAACACTACAAAAGTCCAAGCCTGCTCGTGACCTTTTAAGACAAGTGAGAGTCGCCATTTGGATAAGTGTAAGGAATTTGTAACCAACACCCTTGTGCCCCTGCAGTGCCTCCAGGAGTATAGGTATGCTGTCAATCATTGTTATAAAAAAAGTACTTACCATTCTTTTGCCAAAATCCTGGCATGGGCTGTGAATAGAGCTTCCTTTTAGTGGCACCATCCCTTTGGGGCTGCTGTCAGCCTTCCTCTTGTAGAATTCGATTCCATCTTCTAAGAGCACGACCCACATCGGCTTCCAGGTATTAAACATGCTGCCCTGCATCAATAAATCACTGTGTATATTATGTTCAATAAATCATTTTTTACATTATATCCACTGAAGATATGACCTTCCAGGGAGTGTCTGACTGATGTTAACATACCTATAATTAGTGTCTCAAGGGGAACGTACCACAACCGCACCCATCCTCAAAATTTCTGGATGTGAACTGGCACATTATGACTGTTTCATTAACTTGGGCATCCTGTGCTGTATTTAGGACTTGATGCTACAATACAGTCAGTCATTGAAGCTTGTCTGTCTGATAAGAAAACGCACATCTCAGAGGACTTCTAGACATATAAGAACAAACTGTAAGAGTAACGAACGGTTTAAGGGCCTGAGGCTGTGTATCTCCATCTGCTGTGGTGAGGAATTGAGGTGCTTCGTTTCATCTTTTCAAGCTTTTACTTCCTATTCTGGAAACACAGATGTTAGATGCAAGAAACACAGAGGTAAAGACATGTCTGAATCCTACATATAGTGAAACACACAGCAAAACTCTCAGGGACTCAAAGAGGAACGACCTATTTCTCTGTGTTGAGCACAATTAACCTCTAGAATTACTACAACTGTGGCACTCTAGCTAGATGATCTCTCTGGTTCTGCCTGCAACCAGCTTCAAAAGTGGTCACAATCCCAGACACCCAAGTGACATACTGCTCCGCCAAAGGAACATTTAGATATGCTGAATGCCACCAGTTCCTCTGAAGAGTTACCAAAGCACAACCAACATTTGTGGGCCCCAAATCAGAAGCCATTCTTCAAAAATATTAGCTTCCCTTGCTCTTTCTGTTACAAAGAGAGACCTAAATTTATCCTCCCCCTGCCTAGAGCTCCATCCACAGCATCCTTGTCGTGCTCAGACCATGGTGGCTGAGCGGTGATAAAGCTGCAGACAGAAACCAGGCAGCCACCGTTGCGCTGTGCAAATGGCTTGGTTTGATCTGTTAAACCCGAGAGCTGGGCAGAGTTCATTACATTTGCATTTTATATTTCTGCAGAAGTGAATGGGACAGAATTTAACTGTCTTTTTTTTTTTTTTTTTTTTTTTTCTTTAGGATGCCCTGAATGAACCCTTTGTCCATCATATCCTTTTTGGCTGCCCTACCCTACTCCAAATCAGTTCAGTTACAGGGTGGGGAGGGAAAACTGTCAGCTGAGATCTTATTAAGAACAGGACCTGCTCCCAGACTCTGCAGACCTCACTGGAAGCTGAAGGTGCTCCACAAATGAACACTACCTTCCAAAGAGAAGTCACTGCCCTGGGGGTTCTCTGGAAACCCAGCTAAACAGGGAACTACAAAAAGAGTCTCATCTGTGTACCACATATGGGTTGACTGCTATTTTTCTTCTGAATTTTTTTTTTTTAAATAAGCCATAAGAATTTACCGTTTTTTGAGAGCCCAAAATTATCCACCGGTTGATTTTCTGCTAAGAAATCAATTAAGATGATAAGCCAAGACAAGAGCTGTTGCAATTTCCTTTTTTTCTGTGGGCTTACCACAGGTTACAATATTTCTGGTCATAAACAGACAAGTCCAGTACTTCCTGAAGATCAGACAATGACACGCTCTGCCAATGGAAGCCACTGCACAGCAGTGTTAGACTGGCAGTATCAAATCCACACCATCAGCAAACCCAAACACAGTCACATTGTTCTCACCTAAAACTTCTCACGAAAGACAACCAAGCTGGATGCTGGATTTGGTTTTCCTGGACTAAAAATACAATTGTCACACCTGCTCCTAAGACTGCAGATACAGCCGACTGTTCCTGGAATTGCTCTCTGAAATCATTAGCCACTTTAAAAACGCACACAACTTCCCTGTGGTAGAACAACTTATTTTTTTAAAAAAAACTGCAGCACTACAAGACTAGAAAATTAGCTGTTTCTTATGCTCAGAAGGTGACACAAGGTCCCCAAAATATACAAACAGAGGTTTAAGGTGACCTAAATCAACACTGAAGCCTGAACCTACATTTACCGGAGGTCACATTGTCCCAGCTAAAGCACTGATCCCCAAGCACAGCACTGTTCCCCAGCCTGATGTAAACATCAAGAGGAGAAAGTCAGTGACAAATGGCCTTCGCTCTCTGCAAAGAGAGCTGTGGCTGCATGGATGACTCCTTTGGGAGGTCAAATCCTTGGTTTCACTTTACAAGCGTAAAGAAGAAGAGGAGAGTACATAATTAGCAGGTAAGGTTAATCAGGAACATGCTCATCCTAGCTGGAAGCTCTGGTTATGGAGTTCACAGCAGCCTCACTGATATATCTAACAGCTGGTACCAGTCTGGTCTGTATCTTCTGCTCTTTTTGCCCTCAAGCCCTTCCTCTGGCACACTGCTGCTCCTCACCACCAGCATAAGATCACTTCTGCAAGGACAGAGCCACCTACGAGGCCAGCTGTTCTAGGAAATTGGCACAATTTCCACTTCCCTGTTGCCATTGCAATAGCACCCAGCAGCAACTTTAGTAGTACCTGCACAGAGAGAATTTTTGGGGACCCAGCACCCACAGGAATGTGAGGGACTGACACTGGCACATCTGTATGCATCTTTTCCCCAGCATACCAAGCCAGGCACGCAGTTTGGGATTGTCCCAGTGTCTAAGTTTCCAGCCATTCTTCTGCCACAGAGGAATACAGATTGTGAGCCACTTGCTCTGCCTATCAGGCCATTGGAACTAGAGATGTGCAACCTGCACAGCACAAATTCGGCGCTCTCCTTCCTCATGACAGCATCACTGCAGATTTATGATTACTTTATGAATTTACTTTCTTTCAGTGTCAGTGGAAATAAGACTGAGGAGTCGCCTCTTCACAACACTGGTGCCAGATTAGAGATCCCTCCAGCCAGCTGTTCTGATGAGTGCAATTCTCGTTTTGCTGAGCAGAGACACCACAGGAGCAAGCTCCAAGACTGACACTTGTTTAGTTTGACTTCTTTAAGCCAGACTGATCTCATTAAGGATTTAAATAAAAGTCAAGGCCGTATCCTATGGGCTCTACCACAAAAGATTCCAGAGCTGCTGTGGGGCAGCAACTGCATTCCCAAAGAAGGGAAGTGCCCGTGGCCCCACACACTGTCTCTAGCCCAAGGTGATTTGACCTCTGTCATCTCACTATGCTTCCTTGATGTTTAGCTCAGTGATTAAGTACTATCGAGTAGGTTGTGGCCATTCCAAGCTGCTACCTGTTTTGCCAAGCCTCCACTACGGGCATTAGGCTACTTAATAAAAATACAAATCGTTTGGTCCAAAGGTACATCTGAGATATGTGCAAAATGCCTTACATAGTATTCTGACAAGATATAACGCTAGCAAGTACCTCTAGAATTACTAACACCACATTGTTTTACTGCTCAAGGAACTCTGGTTGCCTTTTCTTTTTGGAAAAAATTATCCTTTTTTGAATAACTGAAACCAAAGTATGTTGCCCTACACCTCCGCAACCTGTTCAGAGTTAGCTGCCTCCTCCACTCAGTCCAAAACTGCCCACTTACCTTCTTAACCAAGTAGCCCTCCCTTATGCGCATCGGTTCTCGTTCCATGTCTCAGGCAATCCTGCTCTTGGGTCTATCAGCGCTGGCAGTTAAGTTCCTCTGGCAGCAAAGTCTGTGGAATGGCGTTTTTACAGTACAGCTGTGTCACTTTCACAAGTTCCTCTGCCTGCTAATCACATGAAAACAAGCCTATTTCCTCTTACAGAGTGAGAGATAGGGAAATGCAGAAGCACGTGTATATTTATAGTTTGCCTCTGACAGAACAGGCAACAACCTGACACAGTGCTCAACTGTATCAAATATGGCCAGCCTTGACGACAGAGTCCTGGGAAATTAAATAAGCATTTTAGTGCCTAATCCCAAGGAATCAGGCCCGCTCCGCAAATACGTGAACTCTAGCAAAACAACAAACAGGGTGGCATACTGTGCTGCTGCTTGGTGCGTGCCAAAAGGATCTGAGAGACAGGTTTCCAACTCACCAGTTCTGTCACTGCCTCGCTTCATCCCATTTTCCAAGTCGAGTCCCAGTGGGTGAGCATGTGGGGTCTGGCAGTGAGCTGGAGGGCCCTCGCTTGGTTAATGACAATGCGCCCTCTGCTGATACAAGAAATTTGTTTATCAGACTTGATCAGGTTTCGGAGTTTGATGCTGAAGCCTTCCAAAGAGCTTAGCTGTCAAACAGGCACAAATGGATTAGACCAGCACGTGACATAAAGCACCACAGAATGTCACTTTCTACGAGCGTGTTTTACTTGCTGCAGGGATCATTTGGCTGTATTTGGTAAAAGATAAGGCAAAACGATAACTTTCCAAAAGTTGATATATACCAGAGTCGCAACCCCTCTTCCCCATACAGAAGGAAAGGTGGTGGTATACGGAAGGCAATAAGGACGCTGCAAAGTATTCTCCCAAGCACAAGACTCCAAATCGCTTTTACAGCTGAGCCCATTCAGACAAGGACTGAGCCCAGGGTTACTCCTTCTGTCACTTGTAAAGGTCCCAAAATACGGACTTTTTCTGCAGACAGAAATTCCTGCTCTGCATTTGGCTCTCTGTTTGTCTCAGCCTTTACTCAGAAGTACACAGAAGTCTGCCAAGGTCTGTGCTGGAGGACCAGAAGGTTACAAGAGCTCTTAGAGGCTTTCTCTAGCCATTCCTCACTGACACATGTTTAGTGGTTCTCCCACAGATGAGACTCTACTCCTTCCTTGGTTATCTGTATCTGTGCTTCACTATCCCAACTGCTGAATGTTTCTCCTCACTGTCTGAACTGAAATTTTCCTTTCCAGACCTTTCTCAACTAGCTGCTGTTTAAATGATCCCTCTAGTCCCATCTTCAGGCTGAGCACCTGTGTGTACCAGCAATCTCAGGCTATATGCTTTGCAGCACATTCTGCCCAAAGCATACCTTTATTTAACGCTTTTATGTATTTTTAGGTGGTTCAGATTTTGTTTCTAGAACCTACAGAGTCTCAGTACATTGTCCCTTTGCTCATGTAACGCATGCTATTATGAGGGATCAGATTGCTATTAAAGGCCCTGGTTGCTGACCAAGCCAATCATCCAGTTTGCAAATCAAAGATTCAATGTATGCTTTCTAGTTCTCTGGCTGTCAAGTGTACTTGACATCAGCCAACAGACTCTGTAATTATTTGGGAGACAGAAACTCACACATAGCTAATATGTGCTCATGCTCTTTGGAAACGGAGCTAAAGTTAAAATTCATCACTAAAAAGTGAACAGAAAGCTTTGTGTCACATTTACAGTAAAGAACCTGCCTACCAGTCCCAGGGCCTGGAATGAATTGCAGATGCATTCTAGAGGTGAGATGATCTAACTGAATTTCTGACTTATATTTCTGTGAAGGCTCCCTTCACTTCCCATAAGCCTTAAAATGATGCTTGATGGACTCAGGAGCTTGTAGACTCCTTCTGTATAATGCCTTTTCTGGTCAGTAATTCCTTTTGCTTTAAAGAGGTGAATTATTTCCTTCTCTTCCCTTTCATTCCTGTGGTTCCATCTTTGGGAAAAGGTATGCTTTTTTTCCCCCCCCTCTGATTGGATAACCCAAAAATACAGGTCATAGACAACGATAACTCAAATTAAATACCTTTCCTTTGGCTGGAAGCCAAACTATCCCTTTATGAGCTGCCTTGAGGCCATAATGCTATAGAGCCTGGGGCGAGCATTAGAGACAAAGAACCGTCTCTACCTTGCTGCCCCTCAGGCCCGAGGAAAGGAAACCCCTTCCCTAGCTGGAAGGGCTTCTGGGGAACAAAGACAAAAGAATAAGCCAGCACTTTCCTCCCTGCAGGCAGCCTTTCCATAGGTTTTCCCCTCAGCAGCCTTGCTCACCTGCTCCTGCTGGTTCAGCGTTTGTGCTGAGTCAGGATGACAGGGCCCTGCACGATAAATTGATACGAAATGTCCAGGGACAGATCCTCTTCAATAGAACATCTATATGACCTTATATGAAAAAGTGGTTTAATGGGAACAGAAAAGGATGCTGACTCCACAACTTAGCAAAACTCAGTTTCTTATTTACCCGCATGAAAAGCCCTTGGAGGTGTGAAATGCAATTCTAGATACGGTGGCACCAAGCCAATGACTCCAGAATTTACCATGAGCTACTTAAGCAACTCAGTGTCAAAGCATAAAATTACCTCCATCCAGTATTAGCTGGAAGCAACTACTTTTGTAACACTATTTTTTTTTTCCTCTACATTGTTTCTATTTCACCTTCAAAGCTCAGCTATTCCTTTTGCCTTTATTCCATACATGTTCGGAACAATCCTTTTCATTTAACACTGAGGCTTGGTTTCATTTATCGCACATCACCACAGGGGAATCAGCACTTCATCTTTCCCCAGGCAGAAATGTGCTGATCAGCTTACTCATTCATGTGAAGCAAAATGGCCCTTATCCATACAGCGGCCACGGCAGGTGTGAGAGACAGCCTGGACTGCTGATGCACGTCTTTGTGCAGCTATTCCCAAAGAGCAAGACCGGGCATAAGAGAGAGGAAGAGCAGTATTTCTTCTAGCTCTCCACAGAGGGGAGGATAGAGCTTTGTGTGGCAGAAAGAGAAAGCAATCTGCATTGTGGAAATCTGCTATAACTTACCCTGTTCTCCCCATTTCTGTCCTAAGTAGGTAAAGGTGCATGATGCTGGATTAACAACATATGCCCCAATCCGCAACGGAGCTGAATATCTTAGCTCAGTTTACCAGCAAGTGATCTGTTCTTGTATGGGAGATCTTGCTTCTCTATTTGCTCAGAAAATTCTGGGTTTTTTTCTGCTGCTTCAAGGTCTACTCCTGCAAGCATTAAAAAAAGAAAAAAAGCAATCAACCATGTTTATCTGAGCAAGGGATCTAGCTGAGATATTGATGGGCATTTACACCGAAAATGGGAGCCATATCTTTGCAAATACATGTGTCAGCTGCAAGGAAAACAGGCGGTTTCTCAGCTTGTTACATCAGCTTCATTGCCCCCTCAACTAGCTCTTGCATAGCCATTCTCCAAACACGTTTGCTGCATTGTAAATGCCATAAGCCCACTCCATCTGCAACAGAGCTTGTGAGCTCTCCATCCTCCACCAAGTCAAGCTGCGTTTCCAGGGGAATTAAATCAAATGCTATATATTCAAAATGACTGCCTACATGGGAAAAATAATATACAGAAGTGGTTTGCAAAAGTGATAAAGACTCAGACCGGCTTATAGTTCAGTAAAACCCTTTCTCACTTCCGCACAGAGGTCTCAAAAGAATTACAGTATTAAATTGAGAGCTGGCAGGTGCAAGTCTCAGCACAATTCACTCCATACGGAATCACATACACGGCTATTTTTAGCGAATGAGAGGTTGTGGCTTTGCATCCTATTCTCGGAAAGAAACCCCAAACTGGAACATTTCCAAATTTAGCACTCTGTTAAGAAAGTAACTAAAGAGAGGCAAGCATGAAAAGACTATTTACAGGTATTGTCCACATCACCTTGGAATCTAAATGCCGTGGGTTGGCCATCATAAATGAACCACCTTGTTCTGACCTCAAGGCACATTTTATATATGTAATTATTGCGGGGCTATGCAGCAGAATTGGTGTATTAACTCAAAGTGGGAAGGCCTGCATAAATGGCAATACTGAAAAGCTTACGCAGTTGACATATTATCATGCATAGAGAGATCATCTTAAGTGTGATAGAGGATGTGGATAGTAGATGCAGTCGAGAGACCAAATGGATTTCTCCAGAACATTTTTTAGACAAACTGGACCAGCAGAAAGCATAGGCCGTGGCTTGGCTGCATATTAGCTCTGACTTCTCATCCAACCTCACCTGTGATGTACTCACCTCTTCCCCACAGTATCTCTCCATCAGTGATACATGCAGGTGACGTAGCCGCAGCAGGGAAGGCCTAGGCACAAGAGAGAGACCTTGGAGGATGAAGCTGCAGTGCGAGAAGCCTTTCCTAGTTCTGGGAAGAAAAAGAAAGATGAGAATAGCCGAGCACGCTGGCTGCAGCTCTGTTGAGGGAGCTCACCACTCCCTTCCAAAGCACTAAGGGGTTCTCCAGGGCACAGGGGAGTGCTGCAATGTTCCCACCCCAAGGGAAGGGAATTAGTTCAACGTACCTTGCTGACTCCAGACAACAGGCTGGGAAGCCTCAGATGCCAGGGGAACAAAAGGTAGATTTGAAGGACTGAAAAAGACAAAAAAAAAATAAAAAAGGCAGTTTTATACTTTACAAAGACATTAAAGATTCCAACCCCCACCTCTCAAATGTAGGTGTAGAAAACAGAGGAATAGACACAAATTTATCTTTTTGTTCTTGGAAGTAAATTACTGCTGTGGCTTAGGAGAAATAGGACCTTGTCCTAAGTCTATGATGATCTATTTAGCTTTGAATCTTGTAAAGGTCAGCACATTTGCTCTGTGCTCCTGGCAAAACCACACTGCCTCCTTCTTCCTGCAGGTATTGTGCTCCCTAAAGAATATCAAGCAATTAGTATCAGGTAACCATGCAGCAGCCTGGGGACTGGGACCTGTAAAAAAATCCCCACAGAGACTGGAAGGGCATGGGTTTCTCTAGCCAGGGCCCATCTCACCACCCTCAGTGAGGGAGCAGCCAACAGCATCAGGCACCTCTGTGGGCATAGGCTGAAGTCAAGCCAGGTAGTCAGCCTGAAGGTCAGGATCAACAACACCTATCGCTAGATAGGTCTGTGGCAGAGCTAGAGACCAGCACTCCTCAGCATAACTCGGGAAGAGACTGAAGGCCCAGAAAGAAGCTGAAATAGGCAGAGGTGTGGGTGGAGGCCCCAGGTGAGGCTGGTCAGGGCCATTAAGGCGGGCAGCAACAAAACTAACCTCCCAGAAAGACTTAGCAAAGGCAACGCCTCCCCTGATCTACGTTTATAAAGATCATCTGATAGGATCAGATAAGTAAATGCACTAACAGCATGCAAAGTTATCAGACCAATACAAAGAAAGGCAATGCCTATGTTTAAAATCGCTTCTTCATAGATGTTCTACTCTTACCGTGTTTCACTTTCACGTGGAAAACCAGTAAGCCTATGCATCCATGATGCATAATATGATGCTTTTTTAGTTGTCCCTCATGTTTGCCACTTTTGGACACAGTGGTGTGGAATAAAGTTGCTGCCTGTGCTGTGTCCAGAAAAAGATGATCATTCAGGCAGAAATAACAAGGGAAAAAAAACTCGTTATAGATCTGACCTCTCATGGACTTGGGAAACTAATTGCAATCAATGTCTTCAGCTACACACAATTTACCACAATATGATATGTCTGGCCCAAGAGGTGAGTAAAATGATCCCTGGAAATGCCCATTATTCTTCACACACCACTTCCAGAGATACTATCAGATTCCCCATGTGTAAGGCCTCTGTGATTTCGTGCTGAATTATATTTAAACTTACAGAAGGGGGGATTGCTGCAAGCAAAACTTTAAACAAGCCACAAAGTGCAGCAGGTTCAGCAGAATATAATGAAAACTGAGAATTCTCTTGCAATGAGCAAACAAGACAGTGAGAAATGCACATGTGATCTTCTTTTGCAGAGCCATACTGTTATGAGACCGGTGTCTATATATAGCTGCTGCTTCCTCATCTGAAGACCTGTACATACCACTTGATTGTCTGATAACTTCCAAGGTATTTTCAAGACCATTCGTTGTTGTCCTAGACAAAGGTCAGAGAGATTCATTTTACCTACTTTTGGTGTCTGGTTTTGGGGACCTTTAAAGTCAGCAATGATCTTTGCAACAAATTGAGTTCAGTGTATGATTTGTGATCAATAGTTGGTCCCCACAACAGGATGAGTAGCTCCTGCAACTTACTACTTCATTAGATGCAATTACTCTTTGATTAGGTGCCCTTTGACAATATAAGAATATAAGTCTTGGGTGACTCACCAAGCCCAAAAGATTCTTCTCATACATTAATGTTATGATAATGCTGCTATCTCATCATACATAGGGAATTGTTTGTTGCTGGTTTTGGTTTTTTTTTAGTGTTTGTTTCACTCTTGACTGTTCAGTGGGAGAAGCAATGACTGCACGGTGTAACAACTGCCCCATAGGGGAGTCCCTGCTGCCAGTGATTACTATCAAAGATGGGATGTTACTTACAAAACTATTCACATACGCAGTTCTGAGATACAGGGATCATGCCCTGCCCTTATGTTTGTTGAAACCTTGCTGGCTGGACACATTATGAAGCCTATTCCTATCTGGACATCTAAACAACGCAAATTAAGTAGGATTATTATTTTTTTTCCAGAGGTTAAGTTTTCAGCAGAATGTATTCTTTTGCTTAATGTTCACAATAAAATTAATTCACTAGTTAATTTGCATGCACAAAGAAATGCAGCTGGGTAATGCTACATCTTCCATTTGGCTTAGCAATACTACATTTTACCACCATGCGTACATTCCAGCTTTAGAAAAACAAACAAAAGGGCAAGTCCAGTGCAATATGTAGCTGTGAAATTCTTCTAACAAAATCATGAACTCTGCCACTACATCCAATCAAACAAAAAATATATTTGTGGCCCAAGTTCTGTGTCAGCTATATGAATGTTGCAGTTTTAACAGCAAACAAGAACAAATGCAAAAGAAAGGAAAGTATGCACAAACCTGCTCCTGGGTTAAAAGCAATCTCTAACTGTTAGACTGGAATGAGACCTGAAGAGAGCTGAACTATGGTGTGACCTCTAGGCTTAAAGATCTTTCTCCTTGAAGAAATAGTACCAGCCATAGGTAAAGGGTAGTAATAGAATCATAGAATCATTATGGCTGGAAAAGACCTTTAAGATCATCAAGTCCAACCATTATCTATACTCTACCAGGCCCACTTCCAAACCACATCCCGTAGACTTAAAGAAATTATATTTTGATCTGATACTGCAATTACAGCAGCATGTTTGGGTTTTTTTCTATTAAAATGAGATTGTGATAAGGTGATTAAAAAAAAAACCAAAACAACCCAGCAGAATACCTGAACCAAACATTGATGTTGACAATTGATGTCAGGGTGCAAGAAACTGACCTTCAGCCTAGGCCTGGTGGCTCACACAAACCTTTCGCTGTACCGCGAAAGAGAAGCAGCACATACCTACGTCTTTGCTCTCTGCCCTCTCCACCTTCCAAAAGGATGGAACCAGACTCTTTTCAGTGACAGGACAAGGCGCAATGGGCACAAACTGGAACACAGGAAATCCCATCTGAACATGAGGAGGAAGTTCTTTACTTTGAGGGTGGCAGAGCAGTGGAACAGGCTGCCCAGAGAGGTTGCGGAGTCTCCCACTCTGGAGATAACCAAAACCCGCCTGGATGCGTTCCTGTCCAACCCGCTCTAGGTGAACCCTGCTTCGGCAGGGGGTTGGACCAGATGATGTCTAGAGGTCCCTTCCCACCCCTGC